TCTAGTGTGCAGTCTATAGCATCGGAAACTAGGTCTCTAGTGTGGAGTCTATAGTATCTGAAACATGGTCTCTAGAGGGCAGTCTGTAGCATCTGAAACAAGGTCACTAGTGGGTAGTCTGTAGCATCTGATACAAGATCTCTAGTAGGCAGTCTATAACATCTGAAACAAGGTCTCTAGTGGGCAGTCTATATCATCTGAAACAAGGTCTCTAGTCGGCAGTGTATATCATCTTAAACAAGCTCTCTAGTGAGCAGTCTATAGCATCTGAAGCAAGCTCTCTAGTAGGCAGTCTATAGCATCTGAAACAAGGTCTCTAATGGGCAGTCTACAGCATCTGAAACAGGGTCTCTAGTGGGCAGTCTATAGTATCTGAAACAAGGTCTCTCGTGGACAGTCTATAGCATCTGAAACAAGGTCTCGAGTGGGCAGTCCATAGCACCTGAAACAAGGTCTCTAGTGGACAGTCTATATCATATGAAACAAGGTCACTAGTGGGCAGTCTATAGCATCTAAAAGAAGGTCTCTAGAGGACAGTCTATAGCATCTGAAACAAGGTCTCTAGAGGACAGGATATAGCATCTGAAACAAGGTCTTTAGTGGACAGGCTATAACATCTGAAACAATGTCTCTAGTGTGCAGTCTATAATATCTGAAACATGGTCTCTACAGGGCAGTCTGTAGCATCTGAAACAAGGTCACTAGTGGGTAGTCTGTAGCATCTGATACAAGATCTCTAGTAGGCAGTCTATAACATCTGAATCAAAGTCTCTAGTGGGCAGTCTCTAGCATCTGAAACAAGGTCTCTAGGGGCAGTCTTTAGTATCTGAAACAAGGTCACTAGTGGGTAGTCTATAGCATCTGAAACAAGGTCTTTAGTGGACAGGCTATAACATCTGAAACAATGTCTCTTGTGTGCAGTCTATATAATCTGAAACAAGGTCTCTAGTGTGTAGTCTATTGTATCTGAAACATGGTCTCTAGAGGGCAGTCTGAAGCATCTGAAACAAGGTCACTAGTGGGTAGTCTGTAGCATCTGATACAAGATCTCTAGTAGGCAGTGTATATCATCTGAAACAAGGTATCTAGTGTGCAGTCTATATAATCTGAAACAAGGTCTCTAGTGTGGAGTCTATAGTATTTGAAACATGGTCTCTAGAGGGCAGTCTGTAGCATCTGAAACAAGGTCACTAGTGGGTAGTCAGTAGCATCTGATACAAGATCTCTAGTAGGCAGTCTTTGGCACCTGAAACAACGTCTCTAGTGGGCAGTCTATAGCATCTGAAACAGGGTTTCTAGTAGGCAGTCTATAGTATCTGAAACAAGGTCTCTAGTGGACAGTCTATTGCATCTGAAACAAGGTATCTCGTGGGCAGTCTATAGCACCTGAAACAAGGTCTCTAGTGGACAGTCTATATCATGTGAAACAAAGTCTCTAGTGTGCAGTCTATATCACCTGAAACAACGTCTCTAGTGGGCAGTCTATAGCATCTGAAACAGGGTCTCTAGTGGGCAGTCTATAGTGTCTGAAACAAGGTCTCTAGTGGACAGTCTATTGCATCTGAAACAAGGTCTCTCGTGGGCAGTCTATAGCACCTGAAACAAGGTCTCTAGTGGACAGTCTTTAGCACCTGAAACAAAGTCTCTAGTGTGCAGTCTATATCATCTGAAAGAAGGTCTCTATTGGACAGACTATAGCATCTGAAACAAACTCTCTAGTGAGCAGTCTATAGCATCTGAAACAAGGTCTCTAGTAGGCAGTCTTTAGCACCTGAAACAACGTCTTTAGTAGGCAGTATATAACACCTGCTACAAGGTCTCTAGTGTGCAGTCTATAGCATCTGAAACAAGGTCTCTAGGGGCAGTCTGTAGTATCTGAAACAAGGTCTCTAGTAGGCAGTCTTTAGCACCTGAAACAACGTCTTTAGTAGGCAGTCTATATCATCTGAAACAAGGTCTCTAGTGGGCAGTCTATAGCATCTCAAACGAGGTATCTAGTGGGCAGTCTATATCATCTGAAACAAGGTATCTGGAGTGCAGTCTATAGCATCTGAAACAAGGTTTCATGCGGGCATTCTATAGCATCTGAGCAAGGTCTCTAGTGTGCAGTCTATAGCATCTGAAACATGGTCTCTAGTGGACAGTCTATAGCATCTGAAAAAAGGTCTCTAGGGTCTGTAGCTTCTGAAACAAGGTGACTAGTCCACTGAGACGATTATGTGCAGCTACATTGTGGGTGTTCGTATCAGTTCTGCATCTCGTAATTGTTACTTTAATCACAGCGATCTGGAAAGTGTCCCAGCTATAATTAACGTTTTTGACTTATCCTGAAAGGGTACCATCTTTCCTTGTGCAATTGGTAAATCGTTAATTATATCATTTCCCAGTTATTAAATCTGTAGAATATGTTTCAATAATATATATTTTGTTCTTGGCACACAGTCCGAGCGGACTCTATGCTTCTGCTACAATCTTTTCAAGCGCCATATTCGGCGATTAATTGCGACGACCATTTCATTGATACGTTCAATGTACAACAATGTACAAATTAACGTGGCTAACTCTGGCTTCCTTTCCGATCAGTGACAGTGAGGTAATTCTCCAATAACCAAATTATAATTTAAAGTTGTACTCTTTGAAGTCCAAATTGAAAATGTAATTTTATCTAACTCAGTTCATTGATATTGTGAGAATTTAAAAAAATTCATGATGGATGGATTTTATTATTTTTTTTTTTCATTCAAAATTGTCTAATACCAAGTGTACTTATCCACGATGCGGCTCTATGACAATGTTGTTGAAATGCTAACATAAAATGTATACACTTCTATGCGATGATAACAGTACAGTATTTTATGATATCTTCATCATAGACAGTGGAACAATTGAATTTCCGGAATTCGTAGCCCTTATGCTAAAGAAACTCGGCGTTGATACAAAAGCGGAACTCCAAGATGCGTTCGCTTATTTTGACAAAGACAATAATGGTAAAATCGATGCTAAAGAATTGCGGATCGTTCTTACGAGTATTGGAGAAAAATTAACTGATAAAGAAGTAAGAGAAATGATAAGTGAAGCGGACACAAATAACGACGGACTGATAGAATATACAGGTACAGAAACTTATTATACAGATAGCGTTGTATTATTTGATTTTAGTACCTGTTATGTGTTCCGTCATATGAATACTAATTTTAACTACGTCTTTTTCTCTATCCACAGAATTTGTTGAAATGATGACAGGGGAAAGTGTTTTCAAGTGAAGATGAAGCCTCTTTACCACAACGTTATATGTTACTTTTAATTTATTTTAATCGCACCAGATGGCATAATTTATACTAAATTCACACAATATACATGTATGACCATGGTCATTTGGTTGTATATATAATTTGTGTCAAATATGCCTGTAGGGCAAACACCAATGGTATTGTACTTTGTGTAAACTGCCAACAAAATAGTGATTCGACGTATTTTAAATTCTTGCCTAAATAATAGTTTCTAACTTCAATTGCCAATTTCTAATGTTCTCTTTATGTGTATGTCACATTTAATCTGTATGTATGTAAGTAAAATTGTTCATGTCTTTGTTAAACAAATTTTCAAAGAAAAAACACAGTAAATTCAAATTAATAAAACCTTCATGATCCATTGCTTGTCAACTCTGAGGAGAAACACGTTGAGGCCCACCATGTTGTACGCGTAACAAATCTGCTTCTCTAAAAAGGACGCTTCTGTCTAACCTGTATAGGTACGTTTTTACTGAGTTTAAACCGATCCAAATTTTAATCTCGTTTATTAAACAAACAAACAAACAAACAAATTGGACTTGACTCAGACAAGCTAAATGTGTAAAAAGCATGGTCAATCATTTAGCTTTCAATACACTTTATCGATTCATTAATTCGTTATTGGTGAGCATTTATGGTATATTAACAGAAAGAAAAATAACGAATCTTTGTGACATTAGACTGATACATATAATTATTAACATAGTTGACGTCAGATAGTCAAACAGGCATTTACAGTGTCGCAATGACGAAAAATAAATGCTAGAGCGAATCTGGGATTACTGAAGTGTAAGCTTGATCGACGTCATGGAATACTGAGTCGAATAAATTGCGTACTTGGTAAGATTATTGAATCAGGTCACTTATCTTGACAGAATAATCAAGTTTGTAGCACATATTCACGATTATGGTACTGGTTATGTAAACACATATATATTCCATTGCTATTATTCACTACTACAGGATACCGGTATAAAAGTAGACGAAATCGCAATAGAATATTGAATCCAGCTTTATTAAAAACAGAGTAAACATGCGATCAGCCAATCGCTGCAGCCGTTTGCGCGATCACGTGATTACCGGCGATGTGTCTCACGGTTAAAGCATTGCGAAATTTCTACTACTGAATACAATAGTAAACAATATATTTATGTAATTCCTGTAATATATGTTTATAACGTCTACTTCAAACATGCAAGTTGTTGATCCTAACTAATACTGCAACGACGTGTGAACCATATGATGTCATTATGGTAACAACAGGCTAGAAGCGAGCACAATTTACATATATGTTGTGGGTTTAAGAATGACTGGGCATTATACTTAATCATAAGCTCAGTATATAAAGGGGACATAGTAACAAAAACTGATATTCGTCTTCGACTAATTTGAGATTATATAGACTTGTATACATTTTCTGTTTTTGCCTTGGGTGTTGTTCAATCAATCAGGTTCTAAACTTACACATGCCTACTTGTACATGTTTATGATGAATAAGGCTCAGGTGTAAGTTTAAATATACTTGGCCTTATTGGACCCGGGTTTCCCTGAAACCATAGGTATCTAATACGTATTAAGTCATGGAGCATGGATGGAATCCCTATATTCCAGTGCCGTGGAGCGTGATGGAAACACAATTACAATCTATTATTTAATCTATATAGTATGAAACCACGACACCAACCAGGAAAACACGACTACAAGGTAATTTTGTGACAATCTCATTGTTGTAAATATTGTTTTCATAAAGTTTCAGTTTCTCCTCCTTTAAACACAGTGATAGTGGGTTTAATCAGATTTACTGTTCATCTAAAAGAATATTCAAATAATAATTATTCAACATATTTTCGGGAAACGTATGCGGGTGTATTGAATCATTGTCCCATCATAAAATGTATTTTGAGTCATATGATGTATCGTTTTGAATCACGTGATTTACCTTATAAAAAGACATGCTACTTTAGGGACAGACTGAGATAGACTCAGACAGATAGTCTTAGAGATCTAGATATAGACAGACTCAGACTTAGAGAGACAGGCGGACTCAGAGACATACCACTCTCTGCTTCACAGTCGAAATTCACCATTGACAGACCGATGCATGTTGCACAACGAAGTTACAAACAAAGTAATCTGTAATACCCATAGTTGTACGTGCACTAGCTCTTTACATTTTTTTCTACATAGAAAATAAACCATTATAAAATTTACATTTCATACCAGAATTCAATTGTTTGTAAAATAAACAATATAGTGATAGGTACGTTCAAATGTCTATGAAGTCGATCAAAGCCACATACAACGAACGGCATAATTGCGTGAAATTAGTTTGGAACGGTCGGTCCGTTTGATTGATTGTGCGTTTGTCCTGCCGGCCTGTCCTGCCAGGCACCTGGTGCCGTCAATTGCTTGTCGGCCGATATAACTGTAATAACAAACTGGCTACATTTTAAAAACAATCAGCGACGAAAAGGCGGAGGTTAACGAGACAAACCATTTTACTCAAAGGAGTGGTAACTGTGATCTCATTTGTGCCGAACAAACCCGGAATGTGACAGGGATCGTTTGTATAAAAACAAGATTTGGACGGTAACGGTTCGACAATTTTCGAAATATATCGATAACTAAATCCTGTAATAAGCTGGAGCTACCTGACACCCCGGTTTGGCACCCCAGTCTGGGACCCATCTGAATTCAGGAAGTGGAAGTTTCTCTGAACACACGTTCAGTAATCATTGGAAAAGGATTTGTGTGTGCGAAATAGTCTGGGGAATTGTAGTGTCTTCTTCGAGCGAGTATGGCGTACCAGATACAAGTAAACTACAGGGGAAAAGTTCGACAATTCTACCTGGAGCGCCAGGTTGGCTATGACGAATTGATTCGTAACGTGAAAAAAAATATCCTGTCATTATCGGACTGTATTTTTCAACTCGTATTTATAAACGACGAAAACACGGCCATAACTCTCTCAGACAACATGTTTGACATCGGTGACATGTTTCGATGCTCCTTGGTAGTTCCCGGTGCAGACTGCAGACGGATAAAAGTCCAAGTAGTAGAGGGTTGTTCTCCTGTGATGCTTCCAAATAAGCCTGCTAATCCACGTGACCAACAGAAAGACACCAACGCAGCACCAACCCAAACAACTTGATTTCTCCAGTCCAGCCAAACGAGCTGCAATCTGTCCGGACGAGACGAAAGATTCTGATTTCGTTTACAGGTCTCCTCTAGAACTTGACATTGCAATTAAAGAAGGCGAATTAGATGACCTGCACAGCGAACTTGAGATTGTGGTGTCTAATCTGACTGAGGAAAACAAAAAGTACTCCTCCCCGTTTCCATCCGATACAAGTAGAACACGATGCGGTAAATGTCATCTACGCGAAACACATACACGTCGCAACTGCCCGTATGAATCGTGTAAGTCTGCTGAAATCTGTGGTGATATAACACACCCGGACCATGCAGATGAAAGATCTGTAATTAATGTACTAGCTAAGCATCGCGACGACCTGAGTAAATCTATTAGGAAAACGGAAACAGAGCTTCAGCAAAAGCGTGAGTTGAATCTGAGTCTCTGTTCATCTTTCGAAAGACAAGTCGAAAGCTATTTAATTCGGAGTGATCAAGAAAAATACCTTGTTAACACATCTTCAGGACTGCAGCCTAAACGACATCTCCTGAACAAGGACATTTCTATTTTGAAAGGACATTATTCGGGAAAATTGCCAAAGGATTTGAGTCGCGAGAAAGATAACTTCAGTCAGATAATAAATAGACATAACACACGGATTCTTGGTAAACTACCAAGCGTAAACCAAAAGATCGCGTTCGCGAGTTGCTGGAGAACGATCCTAAATACAGTGTTCGATTCCCATCCCCCACTCGCGACAAAAGTGACATTAACACAAATTCTTCAAGTCATATTATTGGCACATTGCTAGACACCGACTCTGGAAATAGCGGTGCAATTAGCTTTCCTCCACGGAATTATGCTGAGGAAAACAAACAATTAGAAATAGCTATTCAACAAAGTTTAATATCTCAACAGTCTGTTACGCCAAGCGTTCCACAAGTACAATACTACACAAATCCGTACATATATCATGGACTCATGAACCAACAACTATATTATGGTGGATCATTTCAGGAATTCCAATGCATACAATCCTACGAATGATGGTTTCCACCGTCCCAGTACCCTACCAACAATGATTGTTTACCCAAATTCAACAGCAGCCTCGATCAGCACAAGACAGCTCGCTTGGAAATTATCAGCCGCCTGGCACCTTGACTAGCCCCATGTATGTACCAGAACACACATATCAGTTGCCAAGTGATTCGGTGATGAGTAGACCGGAAATACAACCTGTGGTACACAGCCATTGCCGACAGATTCACTCCCTTCTACGCACCACCACCGCCATATACCGTTAATGCAATTTAGATGAAAAATAATCATCAATTTCCATTATACCGTGTACACGTGTTGACTTTTATTTGTTTTAAATACACTGTGTTAAATGTTGCACAGTAATGTGGACATTACTCGTAATTATATTTTCTGAAATCAATGTGAAAATAGCTGCTGAAATTTTAGCTTTCTATAATTTTGATTACATTATAAGGGGAAGTCAGCGCTCGATTGGTGTTAGGCCATGTATGCACGTTTGTGTAAGAATGAAAAACAAACTACCATGATTGCTTCATTTGTTATGTAAGAAATCTACAGTCGCGTAACATTGTTGGTGTTGACTGTCGTATTGTTTTATGTTGACAGTAAGAAAAGGCAAAACAAGTACATAACACTCGTTAACATAACTTTTTAATACTTGGTGTAAGCCAATGTAAGTTGTTTTAGAATGGAGGTACTGTTTATACCTCTATGTAGTAAGTAATTCACTTGATATGTTATTTTTAGACTTCGCGTATGACGATGTCGTACAGTGTTCATTTAATTGTATACCCTTTGTGTTATCCCAACCTTGGTTGATTTGATAAACATAACCGAAAGTAT